TAAAGAAGAAATATTATTACACATTTGTAATGCTCATGTATAAAAATACATTTTTTGAGCAACTAATGGTATAAATCTTGCAAATCCAGTTCAGGCAATATGGTATGTAGAGCGTTTATTTGTCATTTTTCATCTTTCGAATTTTTTGCTTCAATTAAATTGCAGCACACATGTTAATAAATTAGCTAGTGAAATACACATGAATTCGTTAAGTTTGATAAATTAATATTTATAAACGTATCTGAGGAATTACATTGAAAAAAAAAATAATCAACTGTATCTGCTATCTTGCTACTAAGCTAGTGCATTAAATTTTATATATATAATGAAGCAGTCTTAGATTTAATAATGTAAAAAAGTTGATGTTCACAAATGTTAATCCAAAATGAAGAGCAAACTTGGCAACTGAGACAGATTAAATTTTCCTTTTTATTTTAATTGAAATTTGGTGCCACAATTCATTTGGCACTCTAATCGTGCCTATTTCAAAACATTCACGTAGCTTTGCGGATGAAAAGAAGCAAAGAGCAACAGTCTATCTACGCCGAGGTGCAGAAAATGCGTAGTTATCCAATATGGCAGCCTTTTCAGAGAAAGGTTTCGGTTCTTGAAATTTTGAGTTCCGAATTATCTACGATTTCATCATTATGCAAAAATCATATGATATGAATTATTTTAGAAATGATGCAGTCTAAAAAAGTCATTACCTTTTTTAGAATAGAGAGGGGAAGCATCAAAATTAAAATAAAGTTTTAAGGGGCTATTGCTAATTTAATTATAATTTTGATTTACATATTTTTTATCTTACATATTACCCCCTATCAAAGATAAAATGACTTTGCGACAGAAAAGCCTTTTTAGAAGATGAAGCATCAACCAATGAAGAGCAACAGTTGCAAAATATAAACTTTAACAATATTTTAGAATATCGCAAATATAACAATTTTGGACAGCTGTTAATTATTTTGAATAATTATAAAAAATTTCAAAATTGTATAAGATAATAATTTTTGTATTTTAAAACATTTTAATATCATTTATTTCCGTTGTTATTATTATATTTCCAGTTTTATAATTTTACACAAACTAGAAGACGCCACCGTTTTCTCGAAGTACTATAGACAGGAAAAGTGTCCAAACTAAAATGAAGACTTAAGATACTATTGCTAATTTAAGCTATAATTTGGATTCATAATTTTTTTTTATCTTAAATATATGTAAGAAGTTGTACCCAGCCAAGAGATGTGGAATTGTCGTTATTCCAGGTTGCCGCCAACACAGCATCAAATCACCGTTCTCATCTGATGCTGTAAATCTGATCTACAGCATCAGGACAGCAGTGGACGCGGACGAAAGCAGATGTGCTTGGTCAGAGCGGAAGCCGTAAGGCAGATGGCCTGAACGGAGGAAGGCAATCTAGCCTTACAGGAGTTTGGAAGATGGTCTTCCAGATGTTTAATAGTGTTCAGCTAGCACTTGAAGATATTTGAACTTTGTGCCAAAGATGCTGGACTATAATGGAACTGTGTATGGTCTAAAATGTTCTTGTGGGGGTGCCCAGAAAACCGTGTACCAAATCCTACTTATCTAGTTTTCTTATTTAATCACAATAGTTGAGTTAATAAGTAGTTTATAACGTAGTATAGTTTAAACTGTATATTGTGCTCTCATGCTCCCTCTTCCTAGATTTTAAAGTCATAGAAAAACTAGCATCTAATACAAGTACTATATTAAAACACGTTTTTTTTAAATTAAATTAATAATTTCCTACAATTATAAAAATGGGTACCACATATAAAACCTTTAATTATGATACTATTAAGCTTCAACAAATGAGCCTTGGAAATTTTTTTTTAATGGCCGCGCGCTTTAATAGCCATTAGCTTTGCGACACTACAAGGGCTGGAAGTGGCGGCAATTTTATTATGGGAAAGCACCTAGTAACAGGTGGCCCACCTTTGCCTCTAACGAAAGGACGGACAATTACAACCATGCCTTCTTCGGGATTTGAACCCTGACCCATCGTTAAGGCAGTCCAGTGTCACTAACCATTAGACCGGCTGGCCGGCCTTGGAAACTTTACATTTGCCTAAAAGTAAAAATTTATTCAGAATGTAGTGCAAGTCGGAAAATAAGTAGAATACCGGGGAGGGGAAGTGATCAAAGTTCTATGCAATAAAAAGAAGTAGTATAATTTCTAATGTATTATAAATAGATTTAAAGTATTCAGAAGAGTTAAAATTACCAAAATAAAATTACCTGCTTTAAGCTCGTTACTTTGGAAACCTTTTGTTAGCTATTGAACCTTTACGCTAGATGAGAGAAAACTTCTGAAATGTTTGTAAACTCTTTGCCATCGAACATAATTTCCTTAATGAAGACAGTTCTCTCGCCTTTATCTTCATACCCTTCTTTGTTCTTTTTTTTTAAAGATATTCTTATTATTTATTCCATTCTTTATTACTAAATTATTGTTTTGAATTTCTCAGGACACTACATAGTAAATCCGCAAATGATTTTTTCCCTAAATTTCTTGCATATTTTTGACAGTTTTTTAAAATAGTATTAAGAAACTTCTTTATCTTAATGCTTTTTGCTTTCTCGAATCTATGCATGTAACCAAGAACATCAAAAATGTTCTTGGAACAGCTATTTGACTGATCAGAATTTAAAATTAATCACCCTAATATGATTAAAAGAATTTTTATGAAAAGTAACTATCAAAGAATAGCACCGTAAACCGATCTTTATGCAAAGTTAAGTCTTGCCGGAGAGGGGAAGGGGAGCTCGACGATACCATGAATGAGAGATTTAAAATAACCAGTCTTTTAGGAATTATTCCTCGCTGTGAAAGTACATTATTTAACGACAGGCTTTGAGAAAATTCCATGCAAATATTTATTTATGTAAAATATATATTCGAAAATTGGAATTAAATCCTTTAGCAAATATTTTCCTAAAATCTTCTCTGTGGAAAAATTTTTAATTATAATTTCGTTTAACTTTACTACACAATCGTTTTGTAAATTGGAAGTTTTGAAAGAGCCTTGGGAAAACAAAGCAAACATATTGTAATCTAAATGGAAAATTAACTAATTACACGATGGTATGTAACTGCTACGTTATTTTACAACACGATGATGAAAAACTTTAATCTCTCTTTATATAGATTATAATGATGAAAATTCTAAATGAAATTTGAGCAATACATATATAGGTATTTTTATTATCTTTCATTACGTTCTTCATTTCATACTGTGAAAAAATTGCCTCTTTGAGCATTAACATGTGTATTTGTTCCTTTATGCATTTACTTGTTTTAATTGTTCCTTTATGAAGTACCGAGTGTTAAAGACTGCTAAATGTCGGAAGTTCGTCCTAGGTTCGAACCCATGCGAATGAGCTGAGTGCACGGCTTTCTCCTTGAAAGTCATCCCTTAATGCATCCCTTGCCATAGGTAGATAGCTCTTGTGTGCTTTGCCATATCCAAATAAACAATAACTAGCCATTTTTATGCATCTGAGTAATAATGCTGAAATGTAAAATATTAACATATACTATAGTAAATATGGAGATCTCTTGCAAATCGGTTGTATTATTAAATGCATTTTAAAAATTCATCTAGATGAAACGGCTAGTTTTTAACAAAATCCATAATTTTTATAATACCTTATCTTAATGTGTGACATACACGCCTTCAACACCATATACGACTGTAAATGCAACTTGCGTGTTATTTTATGTTTAATATTTCCTGATATCTTCAACAGAAAGTAATACAAAGATGATACGTCGTTATCAAAATTAATTCTTGAAAAAATAAACAGCTACAGATTAGATAAAAGTCGTTACATAAATGACATAACTTTTTATTTTTAATTGTTAAACGAAGTTGACTGTGCATTCCGCCTTTTTAAGTTGTTGTGGAGTAAATGTTGTATTTTGCTCTAAAAGTACCTTATTCTAAATTTACTGTGGAATGAGAATAATAAAAGTAAAAAAGAAAAATGTATGACTTTATGACGTCCTATGGCTATGATCAGAGAAGAGAAAAAACATCATAAGGCACAGTGATAACATTCTTTGACACAGCATCGGTAGTTTATCTTAAGCTCGATAGTTCTTTGATTCGCTAGTTGCATAAGGCTTGTTACGTTGGGTTTGTTTACAGGAACACAACAGCAATATTTCCAACATTTAAGTTTACATATTATTACTATATAGCATACTTTCCTTTCTCATAAGCCTAAATTTTGGATTTAAATTTAGACTTTTCATAAGTGCCTTTATTTTGCTATTACCGGTTAATTGGGTGCCGGTTACAGGGATTTTAATGTATGTAAATTACCACGCTTGTACCGAGAATAGCGAAAACCCAGCTTTACTGCAAATGCTCTGTTAGTGAACTGACGAATTATTCGGAGACTTCCAGTCATACATCAAATTCTAAATTATTCACAATACCTGAGCTGAATCCAATGCAAGCAACAGAAGATGATCGCCAAATAATTTTAGCAAAATAATATGTTTTACTTAAAATTTCAGTTCACCGCAATATTACCACACCTTATTTAACATATTTTAAGTTGCAATGAAAAGATGCGTAGTTGCATCACAAATCTAGGCAACGGTACTGTTACTAGGTGTCATTTACCATCTTTATCCACTTGAGTAAGACTTGGTAAGGGTTCCATCACATCTTTCCGGGCTGAAGGATGTTGCGAATGGGAACAGAAAGGCAAGCGGCGGGGGAGATACCTTGCCAATTTCAGTTTTGATTCAGATACGAAGATAATTCCATTATGAAAAGAACTGAGTAAAGCTGCGAAACTGAACTTAGTATCATAAGCACTCAGTAATATCTGTAAATATATGTTACGCGCTATAACATTATCTTAATCTTAAATTTAGCATTAAGAAAGAACAAGAAAATATCACCAGAGTCGCATTTATTTATTACATGAAATTATTGCTTAATTTAAAAGACAGCAGAAGCAAGATGAAGAATTTATGGCAAGAGCAGCAAAAGACAGGTAAGTAACTTTATCATTTTATTTCAATCTTAATAACTGGGAACCAGCTGAGAATGATAGAGCTTATCTGAATGAGCCAGTAGATAGGAAGGAAATAAAAAAATGTGTGTAAGAAAAATAAAGAATATGTAGAAGAAAAATTATAATTTAAATCAGCAGCGTAAATTAATTTCCCTTCTCTATTCTAAAAATATTAATCTCTCCTTGCACTGCGTTATTTCGAGATTAATCCATATCATATGACTGTTACATAATTATGATGACGTAAATGGAACTTAAACAGAAACATACAATAATCATTTTACAGCAGTATTAATTATCCAATCAAAATGCACTCAGAACCAAAACTATTCTTACTGCAAAAGTTATAAAAAATGTAAACATTTGAAAGAGCACAAGTAATGTGGCAAGTTGTGGCCGCAAAGTGTTTACTGAAAGATAATGAAGATTTAATTTGCTTTGGCTGCTTATTTTCATATTCATTGTAGATCGGTATTTATATACATATATATATATATATATATATAATTAGTAATCAGTTATAGACAAAAAGTAAGAAAATTCGAACCAAATTCACAAAGACACGAAAAAAAAAAAAAAAAAAAAAAAAATGAAATTCAGTACCAGTAAAATCCAAAATTCCATAACTATGTATAAAATCAACTCATTGCGACAAACAAGAACTGCTGTAAACTACAGATATGTGAAATCTGATCTACCTCCTCTTGATAACATTGAATCAGAATTTGATTGCATTCTTCTTCCTATATATTTTTTGTAATTTTTGTATTTTACATATCTGTAGTTTACAGCAGTTCTGGTTTGGTGACAATAGGTTAATTTCATACATGGGAATTTTGGCTTTTACTGGTATTGGTTATTTCTTTCGTGGCTTTGTGAATTTGATTCTAATTTTTTTACTTGTTGTCTGTAATTCATTAATTTTTCAGCAGCATATTTCGGTTAAAAAGATTGGGATAATTTTGTTTTAAAATAAAATAGAATGTACGATATATTACAGCACGAAACCAGAGAAATGGAAGCATTAGAAGAATTTGATATAAATCTGCAAGAGAAAGCAGAACAGATATTTAAGTTAGATCTGAAAACTGAGTATTTAATTCCTGAAGTGTTGGATCTCGAAGTTGAAGTCAAGAATAATCAGGAATGCTGAGAAGGTATTAATTGGGTAAAACGGAAAGTTAAGAAATATCCCGAGGATTCGGAAAGGAATACAGATTTCTCAGTAAAGAGCAATTCTTCGCTTTTTTTCAAGTAGCGAACCAGAGGAATCCAAAATAAAGTTGCCATAATTATAGGTAGAAAATTTGAGGGTGATATCGAAACATTTCAGTGGTTTTACGCACTAATTTTGAATGCTATTCATAATAACGAGCGCTTATCTAAAGTAGCTAAATATAATTTTCTTAAAATGCTCTAAGTATAATGTAATTTTCTTCCCAAAGCCTTAATTAGCATTTAAGGATCATTGGCGTTAGAAAAAATTATGATCTAGCAATGGAATTACTTAAAAAAAAGGTAAGGGAAAAACATATTATTGTAAAATTCCGTAGCAATCATTTTTTAATTTTTAACGCCGTAAAATCGGCCTTCCACTTTAAATAATTATTGGAGATATTAACAGAAATCTAAGTACGCAGTTGCAATCTCATGATGTTGAACGGAATTCATATGAAGGGTTGCTTTTCTCGTTATTTACTTAACTTATTTCAGATGCTGCTGTGTTCGAATTTTAGAGACAGCATGAAAAAGAAGATTCTTGGCATGTGAATAGATAATATTTTTGGAGAGGAATAGAAATGTGACAACGAAACTTTTTCGCCAAAACGCAAGGAGAAGTAAGTCCGACACTAAAGACTCATTTAAAAGCGTAGAACACAGAAAACCTCATTTAATAATTTTCCTGAAAAGAGAACCAGATAATATAGTTTTTATAAGCTTAAAGGGAAAATCGAAATTTGATTCCTAGCGCAAATTCACTAATTTCATTTCAAGAAAACTTAATTTTTTGCAGTAAATCTCAGCACATTGCTGAAAACTGTGATAAAGAACATCAGGTATGGGGAATGGGACTCAAAAATTTAATGCGAAATGGCAGATGTTTTTCAATGGCTAGAGAAAAAACGTACAGTTCGGCAATGTTTGAATTGGAAACATAAACATTCCAGCCTTATTTGCGATGCCCCGCGTTCGCCTACGCCAGACTGAGAGTCGCCTAGAATTAATGGATAATAAGCAGACGTCGAAAATTGTCAGGAATTCGATTAATGAAGTTTACGAGAAAGGCGCACTGTTACAGAGAGTTCGAGAAAATATTAAAAACAGCGGCAAACAATCAATATCCGGAATAAAAATACTGCTCAACCTTTGGGTCAGAGGAAAGTTTTATCAAGAGAAGCGTCTTGGAAAGAACGCATTTGCTTATTAGTCGCAGGGAATTTGTAACAGTTTACGCATTCCGTCAGGAGAAACTACAAACAGTAAATAATAATAATAATAATATTGATATCCACTTCGTTCAACTAAGAACATTGCGGGGAATTCAATTTAGACATCCCTTGCCGAGTAAATTGCGGAAACAAGTTACGGTCGTACGGGGCTATTACCACGCAGCCTATTGAGTATAAGAGCTTGCCGGACACTGCACATCTCTAATTGGAAGATTTGTCAATCTCGCCAATTTTTGGGACACATTGATTCTTTATTCCAAGCATATGTCACAGGTTATACAGAAAAGAATACATGAAAAGCATATATACAATATGTGCAGTGTAGAGTCCGCACTCTACGTTTTGGTTATATACTTGTAAAGAAGATTCTCTTTCATCAGTTCTTGGTTGTATAGATGTAAAGTGGAAATCTTCCATAATCGATGTCGATGCTATACAGATGTAAAGTTGATTATCTCTCTAGATTTACTTTATCCTCATTTTCAAACACATATTTCATTATTGTTCTTATCCCTAATTTATTACTAATTGTTCTTCTTAAGCACTCTAAAAGATTTTATAGGCGAAGTGTTAAATATAAAGAATGAATTAAGCAGAGAATAATAGTTTGATTAATATATAAGTACCTTTCAGGGGGCAGCAAGAAAGGGAAGTCGTCGAATCAGCAAGAATCAGCAGTCGAAATATACTTAAATATATTACGAAATCTGCAAAAGTCAAAGCTAAATAGCTGCAAAACAGTTTCAAAGAAATAAAATTTTGAATAGAGTTTAGTAGAATCAAAATCATGAATTATAAATATATTGGATTGTGCATTCATATCATGTAAAACAATTATCTTACTGTGTATTCCATTTTGAAAACTTGGAGAAAATTGCCCCACAAGAATTGTTACCCATACTTAACAAATTTCTAAAGCGAATAAATAACATTTATTCTGTTTGGCGACTTTTCTTTATGGCAGCTGTGGCCAAGAAATAAACTTGGCGAAGAAGTCAAGAAGCCATTTCAATGAACTGCAACCCTTACAGATAGCCAGACACGAAGCCAGTCAATTCAAAACCCAGCTGTTCCGTGGGCGCGCGATCCTTTCTGTTACGGTTGCACTTAAAGCTGTTCCTTTACACGCTTCAACCCCGAAACAATATAAAACAGCTGGCTCCTAAGCGGGTGTTGTAAATGAGGCCTCCAGAACTCCAGCTGATTCGATCTGATTTTTTTTCCTTACCCCGTTCTAACCGTCAGAGAGCTCGTTCCATTGTGACAAATAGCTTGGAAAGAACGTGGAAGTGTTAAAAGTGGAACCAAAATTTATATTGAGAAATTAATATGGGGTTTCGAAATACAAGGTTTTTAATTAGAAATGCGTGAAGCTTAATTAAGTATTTGTTTATGTTATTTGATTTCGAAACAAAAATTATTTAAGTATGCAAATAAAATAAAATAAAACTGGAGTTTTATCAGCTAATAAATTAGAGAGCAGGTTGATTTAATAAAAAGTGGAAATACTTCTTTAGTGTGGAATACGAAAAGAATAAAACAGATTCTGTTTTTACAAGAATAAATTTATGCATAAATAATCTGTATAAATTTAAATGTAAATTTAATGCAAAATAAATTAAAATAAATAATACATTTAAAATATAATGCATATTCATCTCAGAATAAACCGTATACAAGAGAAAAAACCAGAAGCACAGTGGCAAACTGCATGAAAGGGGCATGAAATGCGAAAACCTAAAGATGAAAAAAGAAATTTACTTCTTTCATTACATTGTCGTCAAGGAGTTGGTGTAACGAAAAAAGTAAATAAATCAGCCTGTTTCTGAAACAACAAAGACACAAATTAAAGTTTAATACTTAAAATAATGTCAGAAAAACCAATGAAAGTAATATGTGTATTTATCAGTCCAGCCCTTACAATGCCGCAGTAAGTAGCGAAAAAAATTTTATAAGCAATCTAATACACGGAAAAATAATAACATATGAAAAGTTTGAAACCATACAGACCGAATTAATTTTTTTTTAATTTATAGGATCAAAATCATAAACAACCAAATTTTTAATTTAATAATAATTATTTTCAACTTAAGGGGGCTGAGACCAAACATGTAAAAGAGAAGCAATTCAATATATTAAATAATAATAACAACAACAACTGCAAATTTGATTTAAAATATAAAATAAAAATAAAACAAGTGTTAGTTCTCAAAATCTGTAACATTAAAGCCACAAAAGTTTTGAAAGGAAAAAATATTCATTCAACATGCCCAGTAGCAAAAGACTGCGTTAGGGCTGCTTTAATTTTCTAATAGTTATTTTTATTTTGGAACAATTCTTTCCTATACATCCTCATTTATCACCTACTTTTCTCTCCTGGAATGAGTTTTCAGAATTACGATTTATGCAAATGAGGTAGAAACGATATTTGAGCAGAAGTCTGGGTCTTCTGCCTTTCGGCCACGCTGTTGCTGCTAGTCTAAGCTTATTGTTCTACGGCCACACTTCTATGTTCCTGCTAGTTTACACCGATGATCCCAATCACATTATGTTTCGGCTACGCGGGACTTGACGTCGAAAGGGACAATTCTCAGAACCTGCACAATTCCAGGAAACACACGTAGCCAGGTTACCATTCTCACTTACTACAAAGACTTAAACGCCAAACAGTAATCGATTATCGCTCACATTGGGATCACGTGATCCTTCAGAAGCAGAACTTTCGTTTGATTGGTTATCTCTACCCGGGACCCGAGACATTTTCGATGAGGTTTGAAAAAAATCCCACATAGCCGCAACATTTTTCCGTAGCTAGGCGGGACTTCGCTTCCAGCGGGGCTCTTTTTTCTAGAAATCCTCCCATTTAAACCAGTGCTACCAGAGTCTCGTTTCTCAGAAAAGTCCCGTCTAGCAGGGATTGTAGCCATATGTGATAACCTTTGTGTGTGACGTGCAGCTTCGGCTGGTTAGTTTTATTTAGCATTATATTAGGTTTAGATTTTCTATTTTGAGTTAAAGTCCAAGTGGAAGCTTATTTTGAGTTAAAACCGAAGTGGAGGCTGAAAAGGGACTATCTGTTAATTCATTTTGAATAGGAATAAAGGGAAATTTAACCCCTCTTCGGACTTGTTACTTACAAGAACTCAGCGAACAGTTGCTACACAGTTCTTCAGTATTCTATCTTACAAGGAATTCTAATTTAGCTAGGATATGACAACTGTTCCTACCCAATGAAATTAGACTAACTACGAATTTTAAACTGATTAATTAGAATAAAAATAATTTTTAAAAAGTTCTGTTGTAACGTTAAATATAGCGTAGTAAAAATGAATAATATATAAAAGAAACATGAAATTGCCTGTATTATAAATCCGAAAAGAACTCCAGTAGTAAACTACCAAAAAATTAAGTTCAAATGAAGTATTAGTTCGTTTCAGTTCAGCGAATGGTTCAGCGTTGTAGTACTTAATGTAAAATATTTTCGAAGAAGTTACAAAATATTGTGAGGAATAAATAAATAAGAGGAAGCTAAATAAATGTGATGAAATTAAGGCAGTGTCAAGTAAACCGTGAGCAAAGTTATGAGCAATCTTAAAGAATGCAAATGAGGAAGGACTTTAGCAAAATGTTAAAAGTTATAGGAAATCTAAAGAGGGGGAAAAAAAAAAAAAAAAAAAAAAAAAAAAAAAAAAAAAAAAAAGCAGAAAATTAAAAAAAGTTGTCATATGGTACAGATTATAGAACTCACTCAAGCGGGCTTTCTGGAGACTTGGAAGCTGAAGTGGGCACATTTTGTTAATAAAAAAGGTAGATTTGTAGTTAATCTAATTTCATTACTTAGCACATGTTAAGCTTAGTAACAGTAATTATTAAAAATAATAATTATTAGATTTTTAAGCTTTTTTGCTGGTTTATGAATTTGATGTTATAACTTTTTTTTTACTCGGGTCTGTATGATTTCAAAATTTTCGCATCATATTATTTTTTCATGTATGCTTTCTGGACTTGGCTTACTCAAAATAAATATTGTTGCGAAATGCCCAGCTGCGGTATGCCTAGAAATACATTTACTTTAAGGTGATGAACTTTTATAAGTTATAATTCAAAAATAATTTTGAAAAATTTATAAAAATTACTAAAAAACACAAATTTTGAAAAAACATCAGAAAATATCTGCGAATGTTATTTCTATTGAACCTAAATTTCGAACTGTGAAAGAAAGAATCAAGTAAGTTTGCTAAAAAGAGATATTGATAAATGCATACCAAATTCAATTAACATTGTGAAACTAAAATTTGGAGAGCTACTTTTTTTAAAACTACTTGTGCGATTTTTACAAAATTTGGCACTTTGCCATAAGAGGGGTAGAACTGAAATATGGAAACAAAATCGATATGTCATTTCAGAAAAAGTTCGATTTTTTGTCAAAATACCTATGTTAAAACAAAACCTTATATAAATCTAATATATATCCTATGTCACGCTTTCGAGACATAAAATAAACAAATTAAATTTCGTCAATTGGTTCAGAAGAACGAGAGATATAAAACTGTCCCCCCCCTTTTTTTAGCGTAGAGTGGGGTACATGTAGAATGTTGTTTTGCATGTAATTATTCATGTGAGTCCCATTCTTTTATATTTCATATATTAATTAACGTTGGTGAAATTCTGTTTACAGTGTTTGTTCACACCTTTAACAATAGTCCTGCAAAAGAATATACAAGGTGTGTTCGAAAAGTTCGGTGATTGGTCTCATAATTAAAAAACCGCGCCGATTAGAATCTTGCACTCACGCAGACGCAGTGAGAGAAATGTCATCTAGAGCCATCTAACGGCCATTTTACGACAGATAAGAGGAAGCGCACGCTATGAGCAGTTTAACACAGTCAGTGTGAGAAAGATTGTCAGTGCGACATGGAGCAACGCATAAACATAAAGTTTTGCTTCAAGTTAGGCAAAACGGCGATGGAGACAACATGGACATGTTAGTGAAAGTTTACGGTTCAGGAAGCAGTGAGTAAAAAGTGTGTTTATGAGTGGTTTTTTTAAACGCTTTACAGACGTAAAGGAGGATGTCAAAGATGAGCCGCTGTCGGGGCGCTCTACAACAAGCACAACTCCAGGCAATGTGGAACGAGTTCGACGGATGCTTGCGGCAGATCGACGACTATCTTTAAGAATGATAGCTGGCGAATTGCAGATAAGCCTAGATAGTGTGAGCACCACTGTGCACAAACATTTGCATAAACGTAAGATATGCACCCGGTTTGCACCGCACTCGCTGCCAGATGAGCAAAAGCAATACCGTATGGAAACCTCTGGAGATTTTATCGACATGTGTGACCGGAATCCACAATTCTTGGAAACAATAATTACAGGGGTGAGTCGTGGTGCTATCAATACGATCCGGATACCATGCAGTAATCTATGGCATGGTGTTCAACGTCGTCACCAGATTCTCGTGAATTCGTACCCGCGGCTACAACCCGTCAATGCGGAATATTACGAGGGGGTTTTAAAACGGTTGCTGCTACTCATATGCCGGATTCGGCCACAGTACTGGAATGGACAGTGGAATCTGCTCCATGACAACGCCCGGGCGCACACTGCGATCCGTGTAACCCATTTCCTCCACAGACACCAGGTTCCAGCTTTGGATCACCCTCCATATTCTCCAGATCTGGCTCCCGCGGACTTCTTCCTGTTTCCCCGCCTCAAAGGAGTTCTGAAAGGCCAACACTTTTCTGACATTACTGAGATCCAACAACGTGTGACAACGGTGCTTCGAGCCATACCGAAAGAAGCGTTTGCAGACAGTTTCCAACAATTCTACACCCGATGTCAAAAGTGTATTGTTGCTGATGGCGAATACTTTGAAGGCCAGTAAATCTATTTTGCTTGTTTCTCTTGTTTCCTTTTTTTTATGGTAAAATTCACCGAACTTTTCGAACACACCTTGTATATGTTTTTTGCCAACACTGGGTTGAAAGCAAGGCAGAAATTTAAGATTTGAAAAATGTGGCGGCGCTCTGAAAATCGTTTTCGAGGGGATCGCGTAATGCAGCAAGCTAAGTTTAGGTAAACGATATGCCTTGCATGTGATAATTAATATGCAGGTTATGAGTTATGCAGACGAGATTCACTGAACAAATTATGAAACATTAGCATATTTTACAAGGAAAAAAACCGAACTGAATAAACGTACTTAAATTGAAAACTGTGCTTTAAGTAGCAATCGCAAATTTAGGGCAGCAATAGTTTGTTATACTTAAACATGAATAAGTAATTAATAAACAATTTCTTGCCTTAGTAAAGTGCAAATAGTTTCGTGATTCTATTTTAAAGGATAGATTTCAGATTTGGCGAAACATTGCGGATGCTGTTCCGATTAGTTTGGTTTATTTGATTGCGGTAAATCACATAAGGGCTATATGCGTAAGGGAAGGGATGCATACGTGGAGAAGTTTCTAAGAAAAACTGGCTCTTATTCACGTTGCACATGGGGCAAATCACAGAAACTTCCACGCAACCAGTCCGTTCGCCTGAAATCTAACCCAGGTTGAACTACCAACATTCAGCGACTTAATCGCTTGGCTGCTAGTGGACCTCGGGTAGTTTTGATGAAACAATGAATTTCTTTCCATCAAATAGAATATTATAAATCGAATCAATATATAAACAACATACAAATACGTGCCGTCAATTTTGTTCATGTAGAAGTGTACAATGAAAAAAAATTAGCTGTAAATTCGATATAATTGGCTGTTGAAAACATGTCACATGTGGCGCTTTCTTTCTTTTTTTTCCCTCTCTGAAAATCATTTATAATTAGCTTAACGAAAAAAAACCACCATCTTATATTTCATTTTTTAACATACTGTTACGGTTTTTGTATTGATTTAGCTATTTTTAAATAGAATTAACTAAAATAGTTTTATATTACCGTTCAATACAGCACGAGACTTATTAAGAGAAAGCTACGCAGGAAAAATTAAAAATACAGGATCACGCGTAATTAATAAATAGATATCTCGTAATTGTACTCTTTTAATATCAAGAAAATTCGAGAAAGTTCTCGTGCGTGATTTAAAAAGCTTATAAAAGGAGGAAAACATCTCAACTCAGTAGTTGCTTTATGAGTTGTTTAGAAAACTGTTGTTGTTTACTGTAGCGAATTCGCGGTGAAATGGCATTAGTTTTCTTTGTTTTGAATTAAGTTCTGTTGAACGTTTGCGTAGCTTAAAACATAACTACTGTGAAATATTGTAATATTGTACGAATATTTGAGGAAATTTAAGCATTTTCTTTTCTTTGCTGTGATAATAATAAATTTTATTCACTTTTTATGGGATTTGTGCATTCAATTTATTACGAACCAATAGGCACGCATCACGTTTAGGTGTCAGGAGTGGGGTTTTGAATGCCAATTACAAAAGTGATGGAAGAACAGATGAGGCAGTTGATGACTGAATTTGCTGCATTCCAAGTAGAGATGAAAGCGGCTAAGAATCCGTTAAAGAGGAGGTGAAATCGCTTCAAGCTGATCAAGAAGAAATGATAAGAGAAGTTACCTGCATAATAGAAAACAAATTCGAGGCTATGGAAAACAGGATGGACGTGGTTGAAAATAAAGTTGGGCAAATTGAAGAGGAAGTTTCTTCTGTCAAGGAACAAACAGAAGAGAGAATTTCTGACGTAGAACAACAAATCAATTACAGAGTTTCTTCTATGAAAGAACAAATAGAAGAGAGAGTTTCTGCCGTGGAACAACAAATTGATGACAGCGTTTCTGCGGTCGCAAAAGAAGTTGATACCTTAAAGAAATTCGTAGAGACGGCAGAGAGCAGTATATATGGTTTTAAATTTTTACCCATTCCTACTCGTCCCTCTCTGAAATTATGCACATATGATGGGAAGATCCCTTGTCAAGTATATAAGACACATATTTCTATAGTGGCAGACGCGTATGGTTGGGATTCCCAAGCTAAGGCCTGTCATCTCGCCGCTTCTCTGATAGCAGACTTTGCGGATATCGTTCAGACTCTTTCCGAAAACCAAAGGCTAGACTTCGAAGCTCTACCCGGCGCATTGGAGAGAAATGTTTGAAAGACTACAGTAGGCTTCAGTTAAAATCCCGTGAACAGAAGCCCGCGCAAACACTCCAGGGAGCTCACCACAGGCATTGAAAGGCTGTCCCATCTTGTCTTTCCGGAGTGCTTGACAGAAATAAGGGAAACCTGTCGATGCAATAGTTCATCGACGGCATTTTGTTTTATTTTTTGTGATAATAATAAATTTATTCACTTTTCATCGGAATTGTGCTTTTATTTTTTTACGAACCCGTACGCACGCAACAATACGACAGTACTTCCAGATTCCAGAATACAATGACTTCCAGATCTGCATAAGGCTGTGCTCATCAAACTTCGTTTTGGTTTCTCTGCTTGTGTTTGGTTCTCCCTCTAGATGTCGTCTTTTAAAAATCATTCTCAAACAAATTCAAAGGTAAGTCCATTAATTTTATAAACATTAAATTTGTTGCAGTATTTAAATGCAAATAAGCTGTATTTGGAATCGCTATTAAATTTTATCTGCGAGAAGTCTTTCTCACAGATTATTCACCCTCACGTGTTAAAATTGAGACGTTCTTAATTGCATTTGAAAGTATAACAGACCATGGAATCTTCTTTTCAGAAAGGTAACCTCGAAAACACCTTAATATTTGCCTATCGAGAAGTTAAAGTATTTCTCATAAGTTTATAAGGTATTTCTCCCGCCTTCTTCGCATGCCTTCGTGGTGTGTTAGTCTGCACGCATGGGCGCGTATTCCAGAGGTCCGCGTTTTGATTCCCGGCGAAGGCGTTGATAATTCTTCATCTTGCCTGCTTTCACAAATAATCTTGTGTCTCTACAGTGGCGTCCGAACTGAAAGGGTGGTTTTGGCAAAAGATCCATTTGATGAAAATTAACGATCCAGCAAACTAGCCATTCGTGGAATAGTCGACTCTCAATCCGAGCTTTCAGACTGCCATAAAATTTTATTGGATCGATTCTGTTAATGTTTTGCCCCGTTTTGCAAAAAACTTCTTTTAAGACGAATAATAATAATAATAATACTTCAGATGATAAGATTCATTTTTGTCTTCTTTTCATCAAATAATTTAATTATAATGGTTATTTTTCTATTTAATTATAAGGACTTAAAATGTTATGTTTGCTATTGGAAGATTTTCTTTATTACATAAAAGCTTTACGACGCAGAAAGTTCAATGATTATCACAATGCCAACGTAAAATTTTAGGAAACGGACGCTTAAGTAGATGTCATTAAGCTTTTGTTTCGGACAAATATTACAAGAGCCTATTTGTTGCCATTGCCAAGAAAAATGAAAGAAATTCTGAAAGAAAATCATCATGAAAACGCAGAAAGAATCTCATCTGATTAATTTTTATCTGATTATATTTTAATTGATGATAAAGACCGTTATTAAGAAATGTCAATGTTATACTTTTTACAGTGTGCTACTGAAGCACGAACTTCTTTGGAAGCTCTGCAGCCGAGTTTTTATTTTAACTACTAACCTGTCGCATTTCTTTGAGAATTAATTTTTCTTAGTCCTCACATTCAGAAAGATTCTGAGAAGGTGGGGCCGTAACGGGGCAACAAAGCTAACAAATCACCTGGCTCGATTTTCGCTATCAGCACTCCAAATTATTTAGAGATGATTTCTTTGTATTACCTGCTGCACCGATTATCTCAGTTACGACATTTTCCCTTTTTTGCGTAATGAACAACTTTTCTAATGAGCTGAACTAGTCTGCTTTGTAGAAAGTAGATACTAAAGAAAACTTTTTAAACTTTTTACAAGAAGAGGAAGTATCTGATTTAACAAATGACTAACAAATTAAAAAAAAAAAAAAATTGCACAGTTTTCTAGAATGTGCACAAAATCTTTCTGTTAAAGAAGTCCTAATTTATGTTAAGAATTTATACTGTCACTTCTCTTTTTCCGTTTTCCTGCCAGAATGCAAATTAGCTCGAAGGAATTTACGTGAAGGTTTGAGATTATTTTAGTCAGAGCGTGTTCTGCCCGCTGAAAGCCACGTTACTAGCTATTATTCTACGATAAGGATTCCTGTCTACGGCATTGCTTTATTCTTGCAGATAGTACTTTCACGCCGGTGTAGATTAATAGCCAACTTGCGCATTCAAGCATCTCTGGATTACCTTTGGCTAGCTAAGATTTAATTTAAATTTAAAATTCTCCTTTTGACTTCACGCCATAAATGCTAGTTGATTTGTAAGCACCGGGAGTACATTCTGTTAAACTTATTGAAATCTTAACAAAAGGGCCTTTTACATCCTTAGCAAATAATTGGTGGGCCATCTGTTGTATTTTCCAAGAGTTAGCGATATGTCGCTGACAGCCTTAGTTAGAAGCCTTGACATAGTGTATGTTACCAAAACAGATGAGACTACAATTTGAACTTGCAGAACGTTTCGAGGTTTCCAAGGAAACGTTCAGATTTTACTTACCTACACCACATAGGAATCGTGTACAAGTTGAGCAAATAAGTACTCCACATATTGTCCGCTGCTAATAAGGAATAATGAGAGATAACTTGTTTATCGTTGCCATATCGACAACCTAACACATCCTCATTTGGTCAGGTGCTTACGAGTGGCGAAAGGTAGGTCTAGTGTTACTCTCAAAAGTCTACTAACCATTGATTGTCCCCACTTGAAGGTCCAACAGCAACAGCACTTCTGCACCTGTGCAAGATCATATTGTTTGTCTGGTGGATTAATCACATGTGCTGCATTATGAATTAATACTACCTGTCCACACTACCAGTGAGGACCTGTGCTTCAGCAGATGCAGAGAGT